GACGCGGCCGGGGATCGAACCCCGGACCTTCCGCTGTCCGGGCGGACGCTCTACCACTAGACCACGGAGGCGGTCTCATAATATGAACCTGCCTACTGAAGAACGAAGAAAGACGAATGTTTGGACAATGAAAATACATGCAATCTATTTTTCAGACATATTAAATTTACAGTAATGGAATTACAATACATCATACACTGAAACACATTGAAACGTTTGACTCTTGATATGTCCAGGTATGACAACGTGAATGAGGATCCAAACTCAGACAACATTATTGCAATGTTGCATGCCTTCAATTCTCACCATCACCTACCAATGTTTTGTTTTCAATCAGTTCGCTGAAAATTGTCTCAGTATTGTAATAAATAATTTCAGCTCATCAGTCAGAGACAACAGAATCATCATGAACACGGAAGGGAGGAAACATGTTAAAACATCACAAAGCTTTTATGACAAACATCCAACAAAACCTCATTGCTTTGTTTATCTTCCTTGTTTACAGGGCAAACAAACACAACGACGAAGGAACAAATGCATAAAACATGACACAAATCCGACAACTGTAACGGGCTCGTGTTTCGTGAAAAGGAACCAGTGTCACGTTGGAATACACAATAAAGTCCCTTTGTATGGCAACGCAGGCAGTAAACGTGAAGCTTGTGGGTCACGTTTCTTTGATGTCTTGTTTGAGCATTAAAAAGCATCAAAGAACCCTGTCACGAGCTGGTTCATGCTGCAGCTCTGAAATAAACATTACAGAGAATTCCAATACCGGCAGGGCAATGTTCGCGCGTCCATATTGCATACTAACAGCTGTATTATACCCTTTGTCGGTACGAATGCTTTGACACTTTACTCTGGTCGTATAATACAAGCCTTACATTCCGCGAGAAACTGGTTTCTTTTTCAGTTTCCGATGAATTATGTTTCCAAAGAGGCCAAAAGAAGAAAAGCCGTCGTATTTCGGTCAGCATCGACAGTAATACTGCAATAATGTAAGGGATCACTGCTATGGACCTTTAAAAAAATTAACAAGATTTTAAGAAAAAAATATACAGTATAAACTTAACATGTGACAAGCAGTGACATGTGACTTTGATAAGCCTCCTTATAAGCTTAACGCCCAATAAACAATCATCACGTTAGTCGGAGATGTGGATATCCATCAAACAGGCTGACAGCTACATCGATTCTAGGGCCATATATCGACTCTGACACTGATGCTAGCTGGCGGGAATGGAAGGCGGTGTCGATTTAGTCCTTTCTTGGGCACAGAAGAAAACTTTAAGCAACACATTATAAGGCTTCTTTTGTTTTTGTTGTATGTTTTTGCTCAAAAGACGTGTCAGTTGCTCGGGGTTTATGGTTCAGGAGAATCTTCGTGCATAGGAGATGGTTTCCGAGCATTTGGTGTCAGTGAAACAGAACTCTGAATTACTTTAAACATGAATTAGATACAGATGAAAAAACTGGATTAACGAACCTTTCACACATTGATAACCTCATGTTTTTATCTGACTGATAGAAAAATCGTTGGAAGAGATTGTTCTGTTGCGTCTACATTCCACAACCTTTGAGGTGCAATTGGGCATGCTCTTTCTACGAAGATTTCAAAGATCGTCATACGACTCTTTCACAAACAGTGTTTGATCAAGGTTACACCAATCAAGGCTTCAGTAAAGCTTTCAAAAAGGTTCATGATAGACGTGGAGGACATTGCCAAATGTGACAAAAATATATCCGATTCAATTCCTCTTTTTTTTGTCTTTCACCATATATTCCCGTGCTTTTATTTTTCAGATAAACAATTGACTTGCCTTTGCATGCATTTGTGACGGGTGCCACCGGTGATTCCACCTGGTATCATCACTTTTTGATAGTCATTCATAAACATGCTCATGATAAGGTTGGAATCGTACAATCGACACTGCTTTCAGCAGAGATTTCTTATGGCCATAGAAAGGGTTTTGTCATTTATTTTATTCACTGTTTATTTCAGGCGTTTGCATGACGAACAGATGACAATTCCTATGATATTAAAATGGTTATGTACAGTACCTTCCACGTTGTATTAAATTATGCATACTATTTACATCTGCATTGAAAATATTTGCTTTACAAAAGTAAATATATTATACAACCAAACCCAATAATCTGGACAGCAATATTCCCGGAATCACTAATTTTGAGGATAAATTCGGGGTACTGCCATTGTATTTACTTTTTATTATTATGTTATACATTTATATACCGTAGTATCTGCTCAAATGCGGTTTTATTTGTTCACCGACCAGTGGATCCATTTGCATTCCAGTTATTCTCAACTCCCGTGGAAGTATACAACCCGATCTGCCTACGGGCGCGAGAGGGTTTTTGCATCCACCTCACGTATCGGGTACCCATTCCCTGCTGGGTGAACAGAAGCACATTTGAACTAAGTCACTTGCCCAGGGTGACACCACATGTTTTGACACTTGTATTTCGGGTGTATGTACGTATTCGTGTGTCCACCATCTGGTCATCTACCATCAGACGAGTGGGTTCTTTTGAGTACAAAGGGTGTATGTATTAAACTACTTAAAACAAGTTAAAGAACACCCAATCCGGTGTTCTTCAATTCCATTTGCGTGGTATGTACATCGGCTTTCACTGCAAAAATCGTTAGGGTGGTTGCGGACTAATGTGGTTCATTGTTCACAAATTGTTATAATATTTTTGCCGTTCAATATGTCATCAGTTCTGTTCTCCGACAGTGTTAGAGCAAAGCACTACAATATGAGAGACAGTATTGATCAACGGAAATAATGGGTTTTTTATTTGTATATAAAAGAATAGTTAATTACAGTGAGTAGATCAAGGAGAATACTTTTGTAATGAAGATTTATATGTAGACTTCTTTCAGATATTGAATCTAATAACCAAAGCCTCAATTCCTAGCACTAACGACCATAACAGAATTACCATGAGAGAACCATTCAGTTGTTATTACGAATGATTATAACAAGCCTCTTGCTAAGGCCGTTGCACGTAGAATCACTCTACCATTACGTATTGTGTGGCCCAAACAAAACGACCTCCTACGTCTTCAGCACCGTGGGCAATAAAACAGTCTCAGATCACTCAGCCAGGTTGAACGTCATATTGTGCAAACATAATCTAATGACCGCGTATTTATTAGCCATCGTTTTTCAACTATCTTGATTCATGCAATTACTCAAATGGTAGTGTTTATTATCGTAATTGATTTGAAGTTTACTACTCGTTTTATGATTTTGCAAGGTTCACGGGTGATCGGTAGAGTGTCAAATCTAATCATTTTTTGATTAACTATTGTAATGTCATTTTAATCCATCAGGTTGGGAAACACTTAAATAATTAGCATCATTACCTTTCTCTATCGTACACCTGATGTCTGGTCCAGAATCGATTCATTACCGGCCGCCGTCCTATATATGACAGGAGTATAAGAACTGCTGTGCGATCAAACACTTACATATTATACAAATTGTGCGGCAATTGAGTGGCGAGTGCTACCGGTAGAACACGACAATCATGCTTTTGACGAACACCTGGTGTCATCATTGATTTTCAGTCATCCATTAATATGATTTCCAGTTCTATTTTGCCATTTACGTCTAATGAAATCTGTTTCGGCAGATAATCGACTGATTATTCTCTTCTTGCACTGATGTGTTATATATGTTTTAGTGTAGTGATCATAATATAACCGTAAAGTTCATGAGTGAATGACATTTATTGCAAATCGGTTAAGAATCGGCTAGAATTAGAACTATGCCGTTTTATTGACGTAAGTTGATGAATATACTGAACCATGAAACCAGAATCGTGATATCTATGGAATACTATTTTTTCATCTACTTGATTTAAGCATTATATCTGAGCATTACAGATGTACAGACCATCCCTTTATTATGGAAGCAAATGTACAACGCATATAAATGAACATGCCATCATCATTCTACACATGATGTTGAAGGTATATATTAAGACCTGGGGCGGTGGGGTAGCCTAGTGGTTAAAGCGTTCGCTCGTCACGCCGAAGTTCCGGGTTCGATTCCCAACATGGGTACAACGTGTGAAGCCCATTTCTGGTGTCCCCCGCCGTGATATTGCTGGAATATTGCTAAAAGCGGCCTAAAACCATATTCACTCACTGTAATATGTCCTGTTTCCATAACCTACCGTTCTGCTCGTTGGTAATCACATAAAAGATGACAATGGCATTTCGAGTCACATATGTTCCAAATAGCTGCCAGATGTTGGTTATCGAAATACTTTTGTGAATTGGAAATAAGGTTCGTTATCGGTAGGGCAGGACACGCTTTCCCTTTTCGCGAACACCTGGTGTCATCACTGACTTTCAATGGTCCATTCATATAATTGCCACAGCCATTTGCCCTTTGCGCCAAATAGAAACTATTTCGACAGAAAAACTAGGCTGGTTACTCTCTTGCATTGACAAATGGTATTTACCTATATGTGTTCTGCTGTCAGCGGTGTCTGCATCGCATATCCGAGATCCCTACTTTCAAAGGCTGTATGTTGGGGCATATCAACGAATGCAATATTATAATTTATTATAATAAGTGTTAAATACACTATTGTAAAACGTTTGCAATTGTATACGGCTTGTGTGATCAACACATCACCTCTATAGAAGTCCTTGCATTATCAGACTTGATACCAAAACCTAACACGTACATGTGTGTCATTACCTAGTTTAGTGAGATGAAATGGGGTTGAACGTCGCGTTCAAGATACTTTCAACTTTATAGAGACGTGCATGCATGTGTGTGGCTGCTTGTACTAGTCCGGACTTTTGCCGGTTTTGTATTGCTAGCCCACTGAGATACCATGCCGCAGTTTAACATGGATACCCCACTCAGACACAGTATACTGACTCCGAGCCGACCAGTCCTTGTTTTACCACCTTAATTCCGAGTGCAAAAACAAGTACCATCTTATAACGTTTTTAGGTATGAGGCGGCCACAGGATCGGACCACCGACCTTCCGCGCTCAGGGCGGACGTTCCATCCACTAGGTCGCGGAGGCGGTCCACGTCAAAAGGACTATCTAGGTTAGTGGAATACTGAGGAAGGTATCAGGAGGTAAAGGTAGGCAGTTCTGATTATTGCCTGATATAAAGTTAATAAACGGCTTCTCAATGTAAAATCACATGTCTCATTACATGAATTATCATTATGGAAAGTAAACATTCTTATTGACATCTTGTTATCGATACTGTCGATAGTGAGCAGTATCAATGTCAATTATTGATATCAAACTTACCATCGATACACACGATCGATTGTCACACCTCAACGTTGCCCAAACGTTTATTCTACGTGAACGCGTAATAACGATGAAAAACAATGTTATTACGTGTACACGTAGCAGAAAAAGTGCCAAAGCCATAATTCATATCAACAATGTCAAATGAGACGGAAGTGAAAAAATCATAAATCTTCATTTTACATGGTTAAGCGTTGTGATAACGGTGAGGACTGTCATGTTTCACTATTTAGATGAAACAAATTTGGAAGATAAAGGCGATGAGATTCCAGTTCGGATCTCAGTCATTTGTAACAGATATATTCCAACAAACAGGGATAGGCGATGACAAACAAATGCACAATCATACAAAACAGTGTGATCGATGACACCATTGGATTCCGAATTGGTCGAAAGACTTGTTTCACATCTTAGCACAAAGACCATCGTTAATCTATGTAAGGGTGTGATGATAGTCGTTTGCTGACATCCCTTCTTGGAATGAGGCGCTGGACACACCTGGTTATGTGGTATTCTTGGTAGCGATTTTTCTGTATTCACAACCTTGAAATTACATAATATTTTGGACAATTTTAAAACGGCAAAACAAGGTTTGCTTAAAAGTGGTATGTGCCATACATCTACTATTTTATAGTTAGGATAATGACCTTCAATGTTAACGACATCTTCACACGGGCCCTTTTTCAATCTCTGTCATTCAGATTAACGTTGTTGCTAAGGTTAGCATAGGTAGCCCTTTAAAGATGTTAACTTACGCCTGCCATACGTCTACCTTCACTACAAAGGGATACACAACCTTCGGCACCAACCATTTAATATATCCGGGGGTAGTGGTGAGGGGAAGGGGCATTCGCTGTTGTTTTCATTTTTTAATACATTTTTTTTCACGCAATTTTTCAGTCTTATATTGTTTTTCTCTGTAATGGAGGCGAGTTAATTTTGCTTTACCATCGACTCATTAAGTGTCAGGACATCGACCACGTCAGGTCTGTCATTGGACTTTTTTTTTAAAAACCCCACCCCACCCCACCCCACCCCACCCAACTCCGCTCCGCTCCACTCCACTCCACTCCACTCCACTCCACTCCACTCCAAACCGCTCCGCCCCACCCCGCCCCGCCCCGCCCCGCTCCACATCACTCCCCTCCACTCCACTCCACTCCGCCCCGCCCCGCCCCGCCCCGCTCCACATCACTCCACTCCACTCCACTCCACTCCACTCCACTCCACTCCACTCCACTCCACTACACCCCACCCCACCCCACCCCACCCCACCCCACCCCACCCCATCCCATCCCACCCCACCCCATCAATTTACCTGCTTTTTGCCTATTATTACAGTTTCAGATGCTGCAAAAAATTAGACTCTATCGTTATTTAATGTGACAGACCTTATCTATCCGATCTCAATGGTTACAATACCTAGTGCTAGACATTGAAATAAATCATCTGTTTTTGCAATTCAAATAGAGCACATGTTTAGGCTTGGATTGACTTGTGGCGAAAACAGGTTAATCTCTGTACCATCATTCAGCCTGGAGATATAAACCATTCTTGCTTAGAGAAGATATATGGGCGACGGTCTTCTGCTGAAATATGATAAACGTTATCAAACATTTTAGAATGTTCTCCAGAGCCTAGCAAATCACTGGTTTGGAGACACGCCATTACTTATTCTTTTAAATGAACAATTAACTCACGTTGTAATTCAACTCGTATATAATATAAGTTAAACGTATCTGTATATAACATAAATGTAAGTATAATATAGATGTATACGTATATATTATTGCAAATTGTTACTAGAATTAATGTGCTGTGTATAAACTTTTCTTAACATTCTTAATAATAGGCCATTCATATTGTGCTGTATTTCCACAACACACAGGGGCATGGCCCAACACCACCAGTACACAGGTCAGTGGATCAGTATGCAAGTGATTTTCATTCTCAGCTCCCTAGGTAGTATACAACTCAAGCTGCCTGTGAGTCGCTTGAGATTTAACGGTCACATAACATATACCATCCCATCCTACCGGGTACCCATTTACTGCTTGGTGAACAGTGGCATATTTTTAACAAAGAATATTGCCCGAGGAATGCGCTACATGTTCGTAAAAAATTGGTTTTGGGACTGAGCATATAGACTCTGAGTTATACATATACCGAGTAATCTGCATATACATTTGACATGAGTGAGTATGCATATGACCTACAATGTTGCACGTAATTACATGGCCTGATGAGTGTGCGTGCATATACAGACGAGTCTTTACCCATCTGTACTCAAGCCTGAATACCAGCGTTACACATGTAATATGTTGAACTGGATTTGGATACTATATATTACTTTGTATAGTGACCGCCTCCGTGGTCTAGTGGTAGAGCGTCCGCCCGGATAGCGAGAAGTCCGGGATTGGATCCCCGGCCGCGCCATACCAAAAGATGGTACTTGTTGTTACCTTGCCTGGTAATCGGCATTAAAGAGCTAAAACAAGGACTTGTCGGCTCGGAGTCAGTATACTGCGTCTGAGTGGGGTATTTATGTATAACTGCGGCATGGTATCTCAGTGGGCTGGCATTATAAAGTCGGCATTAGTCCGGACTAGTACAAGCAGCCACGCACACACACGCTATATAAGTGCAATAATATTGGATGCGACATTAAACCCCATGTCACCTCACCTTGGTATAGTAATGCTACCTAGATGTGATTCTTTAAGTGTTACTCAGTAACGCATGGGCCTATTCTGGGGGTCTCTTGGATGATGCTTACATTCATGCAATGGTTATATACACGTATGGACACACATCAGTGACCATGTTGCAGGTATAAGTTAGTCTCCACTGAAAGAACCTGACAGTTCCATTAGACAGAATAAACAGCCTGTCCCTGGCCTTGCTGGGTCGTCAGCTGGGATCTCTGTAAACACGTGTAGTCAATCTTGACAGCTGTTGTTCCAACTTTGAAGCAAACGTGGGATGTGATTTATCTTGCACCGCTGATCCTACGATAACATTTTTTTCAACGTGGATCAACTTTCTTTTGGTCGTAAAAATACTCTTTCAACTTTGATAACGATAACTCTGATAGCTACCTGAAACTTTCCTGGATACATTCTCAAAATGTTTTTATTTATCATTAGTTAATGTTTTGTGTATGTGTGTGCGCGTGTGTATGTGCGTGTCCGCGTGCGTGTGTATATATGTGTGTGTGCGTTTTTGTTTGTGTTCGTGCGAGTGTCTCTGTGTGTGTATGTATATGCGTCTGTGTATATGTAGGAATGATTTTCAGAAAATTGTTTTCATGTTTGACAGACGTCAGGTAACTGGTTCAGGTTTGAATGAGTTAACTGGGCGTAACTCCATTTTCGTCACGTACACTAGACTTGCACAGTCTCTAAGGCAATAATTGTTAGTTTTAATCATAATTCCTACATTATGTAAATGATAAGAACAAGTTGTCCCTATAAGAGACTTGAGTTCTCAGTACTGTCCACATGTGGCCTGTTTAATAATAAGTTTAATAAACCCAAAGTTAGTGAGTGAGTTTGGTTTTACGCCGCTTTTAGCAATATTCGAGCAATATAACGGCGGGGAACACATTGCACCAATGTCGGGAATCGAACCCGGGTCTTCGGCGGGTCGAGAGAACGCCTTAACCACTTGGCTACCCGACCGCTCCTAATAAACCCAACTCCACACAATACTGATGCTGAATCTAAAAAAACCATTTAAAACATTTGTCAAAACTATGAGACCTGATATGGGTTTAGGTGAGGTGAGGTGAGGTGAAATGGGGTTTAACGTCGCGTCCAAGATTATTGCACTTATATAGCGACGTGCATGTACGTGTGTGTGTGTGGCTGCTTATACTAGTCCGGACTGATGCCGATTTATAGTGCTAGCTTACTGAGATACCATGCTCAGTTTAACATGAATACCCCACTCAGACACAGTATACTGACTCCGAGCCGATCGGTCCTTGTTTTAGCCCCTTAATGCCGAGCGCCAGACAGGGTAACAACAAGTACCATCTTTTAACGTCTTTTTTATATGACGCGGCCGGGGATCGAACCCCGGACCCGGAGCCCGGACCTACCACTAGACCACGGAGGTGGTCTGATATGGTTTAACGACCAATATGAAATCATAGCATGTCAATAAGTGACAGTTACCACGAGTACAGGTGAGATGGTGACAGCCCAAGGGCCACACATGTACACGTAATCGGACCAAAGGGCCAACAACACGACCTTTAAGGAATGAATAACGGAGTCGATACTGTTCAATGTAATTTGATCAGGCAGTTTATCTTCAAGAACGACAAATGTTTGCCGTAAAACAAATGAGGCGGTTCTTGCACTGAGCATTCAGCGACGCACAAGCCATTTGGGACATTGCCGTTGTTTGAATCAGTGGGATATTTCCTGACGGACAGAAAGCTGGATGACAGGCAGGACGGCTAAGCAGCCCTATCACTGATAATTCAAGACACCTTATTTCACTCCTCCGTGGTTAGGAGAGGGGATTGAAGTCTCAAGTAATTGGTTTTCCTAAGTCACTTAATCACGTTGCTAACAGAACCTGTTTGAAATACTGTACGTAATCCAGATCGAAATAAGGTGTCAGGGAAGTATCAGAGTGTGCGAGAGAGGTTTTTAGGTGAAACGTTAAGCAGCCTTGTCCTAAGTTAATCACTAAGATGTGATTTGAATGGGAAATAACCCTCATCTTAAAGAAAGGCTTTTCAGGAGCCGTAAATCTGCTTAAATGTCGGAATTG